CAGTCGGTGTTCCAGTTCATCCCAAAGGTGTTCAGTGGGGTTGAGGTCAGGGCTCTGTGCAGGACACTCGAGTTCTTCCACTCCAACCTTCACACACCATGTCTTCATGGAGCTCGCTTTGTGCACAGGGGCATTGTCATGCTGGAATGGATTTGGACTAGACCTCTTAGTTCCAGTGACAGGAAATTGTAATGCTACAGCACACAAAGACATTCTATACAATTGTGTGCTTCCAACTTTGTGGCAACAGTTTGGGGAAGAACCACATATAGCTGTTATGGTCAGGGGTGCACATACTTTTGGTCATGTGGTGTATATACTGATATAAGTTCATGTAGATGGTGTGAAGACGTGAATTGTTTTCTTGATGCTCACACTTTAGGTCTGACTGCAGCTTCAGGATGCAAAAGAAATTACAGGAAGTGGACTGCTAACTTAGTAGGTATGATGTGTTAGTCATTAAGAGACCAAGAATAACATGAACTACCTTTTAAATGAAATGCTTGGTAATGGATTCAGACATTGGTACCTGACTGTCTTTGTAGTGTTCTTATAATGACGCTACCTGTGAGAAAATGTGAGATGTGAATTAACAGGCAACTGTTCTAGAACAATCTAGACATTCTAGAATGAGGCTTCCAGAACGCAGCTTTTAAAATGACACTAGATTGTTGAGAACATTCTAGAATGTGTCACGATTTAGATTATTCCAAGCTTCTAGAATTGGGACCTTAGAAGCCGCTGCCGCTGCCCTCTGAGTCATGTACGGGGGGAGCCGAGCGTTTGTGTAACACCGAATTGTCGTGGTTCCTCTGCCCCTGCTGGGGCGCCGTGGCTGCAGTGTGAGCGCAGAGGGGGTTTCCATGGTGTTTGGTGGTGTCCAGCTCATCCGGTTCATCCTTCTGCATTCTCAGAGCAGCTATGACATCTCGGTCTGAGGGGTTGAGGGTCAAACATCCACAGCCGTGACCTTTGACCTCCACGGTTTCATCCTCCACCGTTATGAAAGCGTCACCCCAGAGGCTCTCGCAGAGGTCACGGCCATGTTGGTACATCTGCACATCTCACACACACACACACACACACACACACACACACATCAAGCAGTTTTGTATTTAATCCAGGAAAAAAATACAGTCTTCAAAAGACATTAAAGGTGTAACGTATTATTTAAAGGAACACATAAGGAGCTGATTAAGGTATCAAATCTTTCTTCATAAATACTTTTAATGATACATAACTGTAGATCTGTTACATAAAAATTACTAATAATTGCATTATTAGTTGTCATAGTGTGCCATAAACAGTTTATTAAAGCCTTGTTATACAAACTATTGAGCATGAATACTTTTAATTCTCCATGTTAGACTTTTAGGTTCTAGGTAGCATCGAGTCAAGTCAGGTCATGAGCTCTCAGTGTTTGGCTTAGTGTTCGTCAGGGAGTGATACTGTGAACTGTAGTAACACCAATTAAATAAATAAATTAGCATATACTTCAACTGTATCATAACATACACAATAAAAGGAAGCACCTCCACAATGAAACACATTCAATGTTTATATTGAAATATTTGTGATGTGTTTAGAGGTTCCGTTGCTAATTCGTTGGTTAGTATTTGTTTAAAAATTTCCGAGAGAAGTTAGCGAGTGTGTACCAAGCTGATGTCACATGGGGACACTGATATTGCTAGCATAGTTACAATGGAGTTTAATAGAAGAAAAAAAATTCAGAGATCTCAAACACAAGGGATAATGGGCAGATTAGCTCCTAAAACCAAAAGAACAAAAACCATTAACCAAAGGGAATTTCTAAATACACCTGACTTTAATAAGTGTGATTTTCAGAATTCTCATACGTATGGGGAAAAGACGATCTTTTAAAAATTTGCATTTGCGTTTTAGTAAAAAACAAGTTTAGAGAAGAACAATGAGCTAATGTGAAAGATAAACAAGTAACTACATTAATTACACACACAAGCCATCACAGCACAGAGCGTGAATGACTACAGTCTTATGTAGTCTATAGCCTTATAAGGCTAAATGTTTGCTTTAGGCAGATATTAGTGAAATGGAGGACGATTAAGCGGTCTGAGTGTAATGGTGGATTGAGTGATGTTCATGATGAAGTGCAGCTTTGATTGTTTTCCAGTTTGCAGGTTGAAGATTGTATGTCATGCTCCACACTGGGAGATATTTCATGCTGTCAGGCAAACAGAGAAAAGTGTTTGCTTAATAAATAAATAAGTAGATTAACTAGCAATCTGTGTTTCAGAGACAAACCTGGGTTTGATATTACACTTTCAGGACACTAAAGCATTAAGATCGTCATCATCTCCAGCTGGGTTTTTAATATTACGTTGGAAGCACAAAAACTGATTTGACAGGGTTTTTTTGTCTTTAAAGACAGAGCTGTTTGAGTGTGTGTGTGTGTGTGTGTGTGTGTGTTCACATCTGGCTGTCAGTGCACATTTCTCACTGTGCCTACAATGTCTATTTCTGTAATGCACATCAAACCCTTAGGCTCACTGAAATGTACTGTGTGTGTATGTATGTGTGTGTGTGTGTGTGTGTGTGTATGAAAGAATAATGACTGTGTAAACTTTGGAATAGGATTACGTTTTATAATCTAAACATCCATCCAACTATTAACCAATCCATCCATCCATCCATCCATCCATAGATGATCCATCTAAATTCAACCATCCATCCAATCAATCCCTCCATCCAGATATAGTAAAACTTCAGTGTAGTTCACTGGTTCACTAGTTCTGAGGCAAAACCAGTGGGTGTTTGAAATCATTTGTGATGTAATAGTGGTTGTCAAAACATGACAATCATTTCGCATACACACAAAGAGGACATCCATGTGCATACATCTTAAAAGTCAGTTTTGGTAATTTCCATGAAGGGTGTCAATATTTATCAGGCTGACTGTATTTCTGGCCCATATGATCTGACAAATGCTGAAGACTTTTCTAATTCCCCACAGACAGTAATGAATAGGTCACGTGTCATACTACACAGTCAGAATGAGAAAACACCCCTAAGGTAACACCCCTTATCTCTCCCTCCATCTGTCCATCCCCTGTCCATCCCCTGTCCATCCCTATTCATCTGAATCCAGTATGATTTCATTCCACAGCATTTATTCAGGGGTGAACAGGTGAGTGTTGGGTACCTGTTGATAGGGTATGCAGCTGCCGGTGCAGTTTAGCCCTCTGGGGTCACTGGTCCAGTCTCGAGCACATGTGAGGTCTGATTTACAAACTTCATACCTGACACAGAGACAGAGCAACACAGATGATTACATTAGTAACTTAAAGGCAAAAGTGTGCTGCTCAAGACATTACTGTAAAGCTAATAAATGGATAAAATTGTTTAAGGAGACGTTTTTAACATTTATTGATGGAGTCTCCAATGTCAGCACTTGTGGCCGTATCTTAAATTTTTCTGACATCTTCACAGACAGAAGATTTTATGCTTTGTGGTTTCTTGGTAGCATGACAAGCTGAGATTTTTTTTGTCTTATTGTGTTCAAGATAGAAGAAAAAGAGAGGCTAATGAGGGAATGACTGATTAAGCTGCTATAAAATAATGATAACAGGAACTAACTTGTTTCACGCATGTTCCATAACAGAAAATCTAACTACAAATGGATAAAAAGTATGGCATGTTGTTTTTTAATTAATAAACATTGTAGTAGTTGTCCAATTGCTTTTCATTTACATTTAGCAGATGCCCTTGTCCAGAGCAACTTAGAGAAGTGAAAGGACTTTACAACTGAGCAGCTGAAGGTTAAGGACCTTGCTCAAGGGCCCCGTAGGGGCAGCTTGGCAGTGCTGGGATTTGAACTCATAACATTTTGATTAGTAGACCCACACTATAACCACTGAGCTACCCCATCACACTATTGTTTCAGTTTTCAGTATGTTATGCTAATTAGGTGGGTGTGGCCTCACCAGTCTCTGCAGAAGCTGTGGCACAGAGGCACGGCCCTGATGGAAGAGCTGTGCTGAGGGTGTGGCCAGTATGTGGCATCAGGAGAACAGCGGTAAAAACAGATGACTCTCTTCAGAAACTCCTCACACCTATAGAAAGAGAGAGAGAGAGAGAGAGAGAGAGAGAGATTTAGAATTACAGTTACTGAGTGTAGCCCATCTGTTGCTCTCCCCCCCCAACACTGTCCATCAATGGACAGGGACCACCACTGAGGAGGCTGAATATTAGCACAGAAGTGACACTTACACTGGACTGAGAGAGCCACACCTGTCCCACGATACACTGGCAGTAGAAGCAGTAAGGTCCTCAATGTCCTGCTCCGAGCAGCAAGCATCTGTGAAAAATATAGTCATTAACATTTTAAATAAACCAGCTGTGAATATAAAATTAATACTTACACACCATTGCTAGCTTAAAAACATCCATTTACTCACTCTCCATGTACAATGAGCATTCTTTAAGACTGGGCTCTGGACTGGGCATGGATTTGTGACGTCCATCCTGAAGACACACCCCATCTCTGCACCAACCAAACGCAACCAGAAAACTTGCCCAATAGGCAAAGACAAATGCTGAAGAAATGACCATTTCACCAAGAGGAAGGAAGTCAAGATGGACCTGCTGTGTTACCTTGGAGAACAGTGTTAGTGGTAAGACATTGGTCAATGATGACACATTAAGTCACTGGCCAATGAGGAGCATTAAGTCACTGGCCAATGAGGAGCATTAAGTCACTGGCCAATGATGATGCATTAAGTCACTGGCCAATGATGATGCATTAAGTCACTGGCCAATGATGACGCATTAAATCATTGTCCAGTGATGATGCATTAATTCACTGGCCAATGATGACGCATTAAGTCATTGTCCAGTGATGATGCATTAAGTCACTGGCCAATGATGACGCATTAAGTCATTGTCCAATAAGGAAGCATTAATTCAGTGTTCAATAAGGATACGTTAAGACACTAGCCACTGAGGATATATTAAGTTACTGGCCATGTCAGGGTAAAAGTGCGGTAAATAAAGGGACGTTAGGGTAAAAGTGGGGTAAATAATGGGACGTTAGGGTAAAAGTGGGGTAAATAATGGGACATTAGGGTAAAAGTGGGGAAAATAAAGTGATGTTAGGGTAAAAGTGGGGTAAATAAAGGGACATTAGGGTAAAAGTAGGGTAAATAAAGGGATGTTAGCATAAAAGTGGGGTAAATAAAGGAATATTAGGGTAAAAATGTCATACCTGAGTTCTCTTGCAAGTTGTACTTGATTTCTTTCTTTCTGTCTGTTTTCTTTTTTTCTGTTTCTCTCTGCTTGGAGTTGATGTTTTACCATCAGCTGTCTGCGTGTCTCTGACTCAGTGGAGGACAACAACGATAACACACCCCCTCATTCACACATGCGCATACACACAAGCCTTCTTAGACTCTCTCTCTCTCTCTCTCTAGTGCAGCTCTTGAACCCTTTGATCAATTAAGTGCCCTTGACGACTATGGAGCGAACTATTCCGGGTGCTGTTGACTCACACCTGAACTTCTGCCAAGTCAGCAACAAACACAGCTACAGTACGTTCCCCATGTTCACATAACACCTACAGTGTTTATATAAGTCCTGGACAAAACTGGACACAGTGAAGGATTTAGTTGAGCACTGAAAGTGTCAGAGTGATAGTTTGTCCCAAATGTAGTAGATCAGCGTAGGAGACATTTTTAGTGTCTTTAGATTTGCACTGGAGATAGCGAATGTAATGTAGCTAACGTAAGAAAGGTTTTTATTTATCAGTGTGCAAACTGCACGTTGAAATCATCTCACACTCACCTCAAAAAGACTTCCGGATCATTCAGTGATTCAGCTGCAAGGTGGAGCTACGATTGTTATTAACGTAGCGTCATACATAGGCACTAATACACTTTGGGATGTGCTGTTATAGGAAAATAATCAATGAAGAGGTGTTGTGATGAAGTGGAGTTACTGTTACCACTCCGAAGTTTTCCAATGACAGCACATTCTGAAGTGTTTTATTCCACTTATATCATGGCAGTTTGGCAACATCAACTTTTTTTTAAATTAAATAACAACATGTCATTTTTTTTATTCATTTATAGTCACATTTAACGCTGTGGAACATCCAGGAAACAAGTTAGTTCCTATTCTCACTTACTTTATAGTAGCTATAAACATTCGTTTGCTGGCCAGCCTCTCATTTTTCTCTTTCTTGAAGTTAAAAAGACAAAAAAAAAGTTACAGAGAAACTGCAAAATGTAAACTTTTCTGTCCTGAAGATGTTGGAAAACTTAAAGTTACCTCTGATTGTTACAAAGCGCTGACACTGGTGACTCCTTCCATATCAACAATTACACATGGTTTTAAAATCCATTTATGTGGAGCATTCACCAGTCCTTGGGGACACTGTTACTATGGAAACGATAACGTATTAGAACGAATGCATTAATATAAACCTGCACTCCTGTCAGAGCTGCTGTTAGAGAAAATTAATCAACATCTTCCGACCAATCAGAATCCAGAAGCCAACAGTCTTTGCTAATTGACTATGTAAGAGTTAATTCAACTGTGGAGTAAGCTGAGGAGAATTGGAATTCCCACACTGCTTATAACACAGAATACTAATCTGTTAAGATGCCTTTCCAGAGTTTAAGCCCAAAGAAATGAAAACAAGTGAATTTGTTTTACATAATCACAGCCAGTCTGAAAGCTGTGTCGTCTAAAGCGGGGGAGATTTTCATTTTGGCAGGCAGCACGGGCACTTCTCTGTCTGGCTTGTTTTCCCTCATCTTGGCGAGCTCAATGTTTCATCAGGTTTTCATTTAATTTCTTGCAATAGCAGCATAACACAGGATTTAAAAATATATATATGCATACTCAGTAATAGGCCTGATTAACATTCTATATTTCTCAGTCTACCTTATTCCCCTGATTATTAAAATGTTTCATAAAAACACCATTTAATGCACATCAAATCCATGAATGCATAGCTGTGGAGTGTTTAATGCATCCACCTTATACCTTCATTGTCCCAATTTATCCTGAGCCATGTTGGGTCATTTGGGACATTGTGAAAATGACCAAATTAGAAACATCTGAACATAATATGAATTAATTTTATGTTTATATTGTTACAGTAGTACATCTCATGCATATTTGCATCATAAATATGTGCAATTGTTTTCCCTCATCTTGGTGAGCTCACTGCTTAATCAGGTAGTCGTGAGGCTCAGTAATCCTGCCTACCACACACCGCATTAGCATGATTGCGGGCCAAGACAGAGAGCGACCTAGATACAATGGCGCTGGGGGAAACAAGAGACTGAAACACAGCCTTTCAAAGAGTAGCCTTAGCAAATGTGTAATCCTTCCATGGCTGCATTTACATTGCCAACCAATTATGATTCTTTTGCTAATTTTTGACACAAATGCATATATGTAAACAGCTTGGACTAGACTCTTTCACATCTGATACGGGCCACATTTGAATGAGGTTCTAATAATTGGTCATTTGACTCAAATCTAAACACTCACATCTATTTTTCCTGATAATTCTGAAGTTTATACCAATGTTATGTGGCTGAAATTAATCATTTGGCACTCACTGGGGTCCAGATTAAATAAATTGTCTTATCAATCTGTAGGAGGATACAACCATCTAAAAAGCTGCAGGATAAGTACAGTTTTTTTTAATGCACTTTTGCTTTGCTGTTTTTTAGGTTGTTGTGTTGATGTCCTTGTTTATACTGTATGGTGAAGCCAAAGACAGATTTCCACTTTGTGGACAATAAATGTAACTAACTAACTAACTAACTAACTAACTAACCCAGGACATCTATGAGGACATTTCTTGTGACATAACAGAGAGAGGATGCTGTTGGTCATGGCTTCAATGCTAACATAAAATTAGAGGCCTTAAGAAAGGCCACAATAATCTCAGTGTAAAAACAGAATCAGTTCTTCTGTACAATCATGGTGATGCTACTGGTAAAAAGAGCACATTTTGCTATGGGAATGATGTAGACATGGAAATCAGATATGGCTCAGGATTTATGTATATGTAAACAGGTAGGACAAAAAAAAAATCAGATCTATGTCAAAATATGGGAACTGTGCAACAAAGCCCACAATATAAATGCAGCCTTTACTACTAACATTTCCTAATGTGCTAGATTCCACTTTTGTCCTGTCGAGTAAGGGCAACGTTACATAAATCATTCAGTTTCATAACCCTGGTTGAGCAGTTGACCCGCAGGCTTTCTCAGGCCTGGTTCGTTTTCAGGCTGAGAGGGCACATGGACAACATCACGGTTTTCTCATTTAAACAGGAACAATGGTGTCCTTTGTGCACAAGCTATCCAGGGAAACGGCCACAAAAGACCCAGGCCTCAGTGATTACCCAAGAAGTAACTCAGAATGTTCTTACAGCCTGAGAGATTCATAATCCAGTGCAGTGCACATAAAAGTGGTAATAAAGTGAAGCTATTATATAAGGAGTGTGGAGGCAGTGTTAAATATAATAATACAATGCAGATCCATCAGCTAGTGAGGAAAGAAGCCTGCTAAACTGGTGGTAGAACAAAACAATACACCAGATACCGTCTTGTCCTAAGTGTTATAAGGATATAGCAGGATATAGAGCAAAAATATAATGTACCATAATCTACAGGTAAAGCTCAGCAAGGCCTACACTTTAATTCTACTTCAAATTTACACTCACCAACCACTTTATTAGGAACACATTTGCACCTGCTCATTCATGCAGTTATCCAATCAGCCAATCACGAGTCAGCAGCAATGCATAAAATCATGCAGAGACAGCGCAAGAGCTTCAGTTAATGTTCACATCAAACATCAGAATGGGGGAAATGTGATCTCAGTGACTTTGACTGCAGCATGGGACAT